CTCGGACCAAGTCTTTCCACGCCTCAATCGAAGCCTGCCCAACTAGGACTTTTGGTGTATTGTATAGCAGAGTTTAGGTAGGGTATAGCCCTAGATCCTCGTGTAAACATCCCGAAAGTCGAGTTCTATCTAGAACCAGTCCCGACTTTCTCAACAGTTATTTCTTATTTAGGATGTTTCCCATTTTGGGATAATCTATCAAAAGTAATTGTTCTTGGCTATTTGGTTAAATTAATTTATAAGTTTACATTAAAGGAAAATCGGTAAAGACAAAACGTTAAAGGCTTGTTAAAGGTTATATTGTTACGTATCTCAATCATCAACGAATGGACAATGCAATTATGTGTATGTCGATGAAAAAAAGAAGTCCAAAACTGACAATATATTAAGAATAATGCTTTAGAACCTCATTCTCAGCTATAAGAGACTTCTTGGTGACCTTATATGAATCGCTAAAGTTATTGCATGTATATACAAGCTCTCACGAAGTCAACGCTACAGCACATAATAAAGTGCACGACAAAAATATCCGGATATTTTATATAATTTTAAAAGGGCAACAATCGAGGGTGTAGTCATATGATTTTCCGGAAAATTGTTTTCGAAAAAAACATTTTTTTTCATACTCTTACTAATCCATTATTATTATTATTTTGTGTACCGCCGCATTGTTACGAAATAACTATCGAGTCGTTATTTCAAGAAACAATTTCCAGACTTAAGAATTAATTTTAATGATTTAAAAAAAAATTTTATCGTTTGTATTTGTCAATATTAATTATTAGCTCTCTGGAAATTGGGTACTTCAAAATAACGCCAGGCGCATAATTTCATATCATACAGTAAAGGAAAGCTTTCATAATTGTTATTTAAGAGACAAAATCATATTATTGGTCCAGAATAAATCGTTAAATATATTCTAAACATAGACTTAGTTACTGTGAACAGATTTAAAATGAATTATTAAATCTAAATTATGGAGTACAAATTGACATCGAATTTCGAATATACGAAATCCACATTTTTCGCACTCAACAAAATAAATTAAAAGTTCACGTTTTTTATATCCAGCATTCATCATAAAAAAGTTAATTATAGCAAGCTTTGGCTATAATTGGATTTATAAACGAATATGCATTCATAAACTAGATTAGCACAAATAAATAACTCAATAGAAGCTAAAAAAGATTGTAGAGTTCTAAAACAAACTCAACTAATGCAAACTTAAAATTTCACGGTTGCCATGACCAGAGATCATTATAAAGTAGTAAGCTTCGATTTTAATTGAATTTATAAACAAATATGCATTCATGTACTTAATTAACAATTCAATAGAAGCTATAAAAGACTGTAGAGTTTTAAAATATACCTTTTGTTGTAGTGAGCTCTTGATATAATAGACGAGTTTTGTAAAGTACATTTAGTATTCTCTCAATATAAGCTGCAAAGAGGTTTTTTTCAGGCCTGAGTACTTCACTATAACATGAGTTGTAGTCATTTTTTTATTGTGTTTTCTTGTATTTCTACATATGAGACCACTTTTATTTTGTGACGAAATATGAGTTAAAAATGAAAAAAATAGACTGCAGTTTCTATAATGAACTGTCAGTTCTTATAGTAAATTTCTTTATAAAAATAATTTATTATGTTTCTGTACTAACTCTATAAATTGTTAAAAAAAGGTTTCTTATTGAGTAGGCTCGTTATAAGAAGTTTCGATATAAAGATAGTTGGCTGTTTAAATTGCATAGATAAATAAGATCAGAAGGTCGATTGTTGATAACACTGAATTTGCCTTAGTATTAGAAACAATAATTTCAATTTCAGTCGCACCGGTGTTTTAAAATGTTTTCATATTTCAATTAATTATAAAAAAAATTTTTTTTGCCATCTAATAATAATGAGACAAATATGTATTCAATATTCGATTATCGTTTCTAGAATCGATTTTAAAGATTTTAATATAGATAATTATTTTTATAATCGATTCCTACTCTTAATTCTAAAAAAACAAAAAAAATATGGTTACCCATTTTTTTGATATGTTTTTGAGATTATTTAATACATTTTCTTTTAACTTTTTGAATTAGTGATATAAATGCATCTCTCACAATATTCATCGCCTATTTCTCCATATGAACTCAAATAATTGTTTAGAACAATTCAAATGATCTAAACAAAAAGAAGATTAAGAAAGCAGTTAGGCCGAATTATCTTAACGCATGTTAAATTAAACATTTGACACAGTTAAATTTTTCTAGTCTATTTGGTAACTTTCATTAAATAAATTATGTGTGGGCATTTTTATCATTATAATCAGAAGCAAGGCATAAAAAATCAATAAACGAAAATTGTATATATATTTTATCACAGAACCAAATATATTTTATTGCAGAACCAAAAAATATATTTTATCATATAATGTATTCAATACAGTAATAGAAAAAATTCATTCCAAAAAATCTAAATCACTAAACAGAAAAACCACACAACCCAAATTAATCTAGATTAACCCAACCCAAGCAGTATTAATCCAAATTATTATAGCAATACAGAAAAAATAAATTTGAAAATTTAAAAAATTGTATCAGATTCGCAGTCCATTAAGCTGTGGAGGTGGGGGCAGTGGTGACTGCTGGAGTTTGTTCTGATTGTTTTGAATCTTTAGTCTGATTCTTTTTTGGTTTCTCTTTTGGTTTCTCTTTTGGTTCATCAGTTGTTTGTTGTTTTGGTTCTTCAGTGCAAGTCGGCTGATTCTTTTTTGGTTTCTTTTGTTTCTTTTTTTGGTTCTTTTTTGGAGCTTTAGTTGGTTGTTGTTCTGGAGCTGTAGGAGTGGCTTCTACCGCAGATGGATCTTGAGCTTGTTTTAATCCATCAAGTTCTTTGTGTTTTGGTTTTCTATATAATTATTTTAATAGAACAAATTAATAAAAATATTCAAATATATATTATATGTACACACGATTTTTATAACATACTCTTTGCAATCTGCAGATTTTACACCAATACCATTAGTGTTACGTTCAAGTTGTCGAAGGTTTTTGCAGCAAGTTTTAAGAGTATCAGATATTCCTTGACCTTCTGCACTACTTGTACTACTTAATGCAGTATTAATTCTATCAGCAAGGTCAAAGCATGCATCAGCAGCTTTTTGCTGATCACATGCACCAGCTTTGGCTAAAAGAGAAAATACAGTTGCATTCACTAGGGCTCCAGCATCAGCTTCGAATTGAATTCCAGCATTAGGACCTTGACCAACAGCTTCAAGTGCTTTGTTAGCAGACGCGGCTTGGTTTTTCATGCAGCTATAAACAGCTTCGGCTTGGGGGGAATGCTCCTGACCGAATCGCCTTTTCTCAAAATTAACCGGCGAGCCATTAACGGTTAAACCCAAAGCCAATACGGCCACCAAAATGAAGATTGATGATTTCATTGCGATTATTGTTGAAAAGAAAAAAAAAGAATAATAAAATAAAGCAAATATTGAGACTAGCTCAAATATAAAATTAGTGACCAAAAAAGAAAGAGCACAGCTCGAAGGAAAAAGAGAGAAGGTAGCTCAAAAAAGAAGAGCAAAACTCAGAAAATATATAAGAAAGGATGGAGAATTGTAGAGTGAAGTGGTAATGAAATGGTGCATATTTATACTTTTTTTTTTAGATCTGCTTAAGGAGTTCTTTAACTTAGGAGAGATTAAAAATTAACACTTCAAGTTAAACAGTTAGAGAATTAATTCAACTAATTAAATTGATTTTCCTCATAGTAATTCACTAATTTACGTAAAGGACCACTAGTGAATTCGAAATTTTAAAATGAATAAAATTTAGTTCGTTTTATTTCTAGCGCCATTAGGATTGGCAAATCGGATTAATAGAATATATAGAATTTTGTTTGATATTCTCTTTTAAAAAGAAAATAATTGTTTGAAAAACACTCTATCAATCGAATGATTGTAGTGACACCCAAAATTTCTAAATTATTGGAAGACCGAAAATTGTTTAATACAAAAGTGTCATCATTTCTATGGATGATTGATATTTCACAAAATGTCATTTTATATTTGAAACAAAATTTTATTAATTTTTTTCCCAACATTTTAAATGAACCTAATGGAGGTTAAAGCTATGTAAAAGGTATCTTATCTAGTCATACCTATTGTACTATTACTTTGATTATATCAATTATTTATTGTTGTATTCTTAGATACAATTGCACTTTCTTTGCAACTTCTTTTTCATTTATATTTTTAGCACAATAAAGTACGCACTTATTTCTACTTCTCTACCATTAAAATCAATTATGTATAGAGAGATCTCTATAATTTCATAATTAATTCAGCTCTTAGACGTCTTTCCTAGTATCTTCAGGATAAAATTTACTGTATTATTGACAAGAATTATTAGAGACTAAATATGGTAAAACGTAAATTAAAAAACAGATTTACAGGGGTTTCTCTGACAGCATCCACATTATATTTTTTTTTCATTGTTTGTTCAATTATTGAATGCATCAAAATGCATAATTTCCTTTGTTTCATAAATAAGATGTTGTTTACTATATATCGATATGATCTTTTAAATAATGTTACTTTACTATTTTTGATACCGTTTTGAAAAAGATTACTTTATCTAGGAAGGATCATCAAAAATTAGTAATTACGTTGCGGTTTTTTTGTCGAAAAAACAATCAATAGATGAGTTAACACAACACATAATCCGAACACGTGTAAAGAATACGTATACTCCAAATTAATAATAATTGGCGATCATTTACTTCTATAGTTCATAAAGCTGATCTTCTAACCTTAAATGTTTATTTTCGTGCCCTTTAATTTGATTTTTTATATTAAATTTCTTTTTGAGGATATTTAACGTTAGAGATTTGTATTACAAAGTTTATCTGCGCATATTATTCACTTAACGTTAAATAGTGCACTACCAAATATGTATCTTGTACGACCGATAAAAATCCGAAAAGGGAAATTAGCCAATCGGAGAACATAAATTGTGATCAGCCCGACACGTGAACAAAGCGAAAAAAAACGAAAAAGCGAAAATACAAGAGAACGAGGGACTAAGTCTGTCTTGGGGTATTAATTAAAAATAACGGGAATGGAATTTACATATAGGAAGTAATTAATTGGTTTCTATCTCCTTTAACTTTTAACGTCCTAACCTAAAGATTTAATTTCACAAACTTGAATTTATTTTTTTGGTTTTGCATCACTTTCACAACCAATTTATATAGTAACTTATCCAACATGTCTTGTGTGAACACCGAACGATTTTTGTGTAACTTATTCGGCCACCTCCTAATACATACTCAAATTTTCATCATCTCTTATAGCTGTTCTCATAAATTCTGGGACAACTAATAAAATTTTGATCTGCCGAATTCGATAAATTTTTGAATTCGGTGTTATCGAATTACTGTAATACCGAAAATCCAATTCCGATAACACCGAATGCAAAAACTTATCGAATTCGGCAGATCAAAATTTTATTAGTTGTCCCAGAATTTATGAGAACAGCTGTAAGAGGTGAATGAAAATTTGGGTATTTGCATCACAGTTGTTATCATTTGGGACACCTTGCAAAAAATTAACCGAGTGATTATTTTGTCGATTCGATAAGTTATTGATTTCGGCATGATCAATCTAACGTTTATTATGGCCTAAACCTGGTATGTAGATGCTAATCGATTTTTAAGGCTTTACAGGTGTTTTCATAATTCCTGGGCCACTCTAAAAAAATTTGCCGAAATCTATTCGGCCGAAGCCGTTAAGTTATTGATTTCAGTATGATCTGTGCGTGATCAGTATATAAAAAGAATTTTAAGAATTTTTGTGTTACACCGAGATAAATAACTTATCGACTTCGGCAAATTTTTTTAAGGTGGCCCAGGAATTATGAAAACAGCTGTAAATGACCTCTATTTATGGTAGTGATAATTATTAATCGATAATGACCAGATCGATATAACTCTAGTTAAGTATTATAGTTTAAAAGCATATTCAATAGAAAAAAAAATCATAAGAGTTATAAATTCGAACAACTGCTAAACACTTAAGTGTTAACAGATCTTCAATAAGTCAAGTTTCCAACCAATAGACGGTTTCAAAGTTAACGTGCGGGAATCTAATTTTGACAGAAATAGAAGATGACGTATTTATTTACAAATGAGCGATGTATAGACTTTAATCCATTTTCTGATAAATTTGAAATGATGATTTTTGTCTATTGTGAGCCTCGAAATCGGTCACGGCCTCACGTGACCGATCGTCGAAATTAGGTCCCGTCGCCTACCCGAGTAA